GTGCAAGTGTATTGGTAGGAGCTACGCCATTAAAGTCTTGCGGAGATGGGAAGACACCCTGAGAATTCGGCCTACAGTAGACAAGAAGTTGTGTGCAAGGTTTGTAAGGTGGAATCATTGAATGTGCCTTGCGGCTTTTGTAACACGAAGCACCGTCGCAACTTGCATACGTCTACCTGTTGACTACTTCTTCAGACATTGACGCGCTGCCGTACAGATATTACCCACTGGAGGGAGGAGCACCTAGCCAACTTGCATTGTTGTTCTCCTGTCGCCTAAACGTGTCTGTAGGCACCGACACGAGGTTGCAACTCACTTCCGCGCGCTACCACCCTTCAGAACCTGGTTTCCCACTCCACCGAACCAATTAATGGTTTTGATGACGAATGCAGCGTGGGTCCTTAATGCACACGATTTCGTTTGCCTCCTGTTTTAACAGTGGACTGGATCCTACTGAGCTGATTGCACGTGCACTGAAGGCGAAGTTCGCCAATATGCGCCACGAGTTGGACAGTCCAGAGAGTGCGGACAGTCCAAAGAAGAAAACACTGAGTGACGAGAACGATGGCGAATTTACACCACCTCCGATTCCTGTCTTTCAAACGCCAGTAGTGCGGCGAGTTTGTGACGGAGGAGCAAGGGACGCTTTACGATCTGGACCGACTTCCGATGCGACTTCTGCCACAGTGGTATGTCCATAGCAACTCCTTAGGTTCTGTTCGATGTCTGGCGTGATCAAGTTAGCGCAGACCGAACCCACCAATTTCGCATAGTCAGGGGAAGAAATGACTTTGCAATTTGTCATTCGTCTCGGCTTCTCAATTTATGTTGTCTTCTGATTTTAGGCATTTGGTCGTCACATCCTACGTCCAGTAAATCGAGATAAATTGCCCCTCACAGTCCTCTCGGACTTGAGCTTTGACACTTCCGGTTCTACGAGCGCTACTCAACTGTAACCATTATCATTGCCAATGAAAAGTTTTTGTAAAAGACGTCATACCTTACACTTGGTCTCGTCGCTACAACCTCCGAGAAAATCAGAATTTTGAGGGAGAAATAGGGTTTGGCAACGTTAGCTGCAGATATCTGCTCACCTCCATGGGGCAGTAATTTTTGCCTGATGGGTGAATGACTTCCCAAAGAAGACAGTGAGGAAGTTTACCACAAAAGTCTGCCTCGGTTAACATTACCACAAAAAAAGGGGAAGCACTATGGAACACCCAGTGGCATCGCTGGTCTATTCATATCAGCGTCCGCGGGAACGCCTTGGTGAACAATGCAACGATAGGGTAGCATCGCACCTTAACGTACTTGGACGCACTTCCGAACCTTTATCAGCGTCAAACGGACGCAGCGCAGTAGTTGCTACTTCAACTATTTCAGCAGCAAGGCAGAATACCATCGACATCATCAGTAGTTGGCAGAAGGAGGGAAAATACTCTCACAAGACAAAAAATGAAGGTAATATGGGCAAGAACTAAGTAGGTAGGGGAGTCATAAAGCGACAGAGCCAGGCATGGAGAGGGATGGCAACAAGTGCAGCGCAGGTGATGCCAAGGGAATCGGAGAACGCAGCGACCGACATACTGTACTCATGAGTGTCAGGTTTGGTCTAAAATGCACACAACCATTTAACTAGCATGAGCAATAAACTAACTCCAAATGAAGCAGAAAAGCATCTTCTATAAAAAGTAGGCGATTACAAGCAAACACCTCCTTGTCACCTAGCGTAGTGACACGTTCGAGTTGTGCTGATCGTTCCTTCTTGGTGGTTCTCAGTGTCGACCCCTTGAGTCATTAGGAGAGAAGTGTTCCCTCTGTAGGTCTTTCGTTAACCTCCCAACTTAAAATTCCAATTTCTTCAAAACCTCTCCAAGGCGATAGCTATGACAACCGAAGGAGAGGTAATCGGAGGGTAGCACTTGCCTCCGCACCCAACCCTCTCAAGTATTTTTGCACACTTCTGTGGTAGGCTGATGGATACCTCGTTTATAGTCATCTTCTTGCAACATCGACCGAACAGGGGCAGTGTACAATCTGTCGTGAGCCATCCGCAAAACTCACGCCGCAATTGCTCTGCACCTACAGACATTACCAGACGATCATACTCTCTCCATTTCCACTTTGGTAGGAGGCTCCAAAGGCCGAATTAAGAGCACTCCTGCTTGAAGGCTCCCTCTGTGTGGTCGTAGCATTGAAGTCGTTTTGTTTTTTCAGGCTACAGAAGCGTATGCTTGAGTTCTACGTACACGTATGCCAAGTCCTTTGTACTCTCCACTCAACTTCACCTTAGTCTACTCATTTGGTACTTCTGATGACTGTGCTCTTCTCTACTTTACTACTGTAGCATGCGAGTCTGCAGATTTTTAAGCCGACAATTCACATATTTTGCTCACAATTTGATCTGTGCATGCCTCACCTTTATCATTCATTTAAAAGTTGCTCCATGAAAATGCACACAGACCGGAAGCAATTTCATTCCAAATCAGACATTAGGCATGGGTTGCGAGGGCTCTAAACCGCCTCGCTGGCACCCTAATTTGCTCTCCATCCACTACATTTGTTGCCTAGATTCATGGAGTGACACAAGACCGAACACTTGCTGAGCCTTTTCGGTGGGAACAACCACAACACAGTGCAGTACAGATAGCAGCTCAAACAAGTGGTATCACAGTGAATGAGACACCTCACGGAACACGATGGAGGTGAGGCGAC